AACAACAACAACAACAAAGGACTTCAGTATGAAGAATCGAGTATCTGCAGTAGGAAAGGTTAACATAGTGGCTCACAAAAAGACGACTCATTTCTTAAAACCGGAGTGGGTATGAGGATTGTGATCGGGCGGAACTTGTGCTGAAGGGAATGGGTGAGATTCCATAACGGATGGGACTCTCTCTCCTTAGGTTCACAATCATGATCCAATGTTACAACGATCCTGAGCCAGAACGATCCTCAGTTAGAACAATCTTCAATTAGAACGATCCAGCTTCTCGGCCTCCTCCCACCGGCCTTGGCACCAAAACATAACTGGGATAGGGAGGAGCTGGAAGCCGTGCGCGCAGATCACTTATGTAATTCTCTCTACTAATTACACTAATTTGCGAAGCTATCTCTGCGTTATATCTTTGGATCATTTTGGGCTTCCCCAAGAATCCCTCTCATCCGATCATACAATTCCTCGTTTTCTTTTTTCCACCTCCCACCGTTCGAAAATACTTCTTTCCGTAGTTTGTTGACCCAAGGTATCAACGGCCGGTAGTATGGCGTGAAGTTTTCTTCTGCGAATTCGATAAAGTCTCCTTCATCATCAACTGTCGCCTTCTATGTTTTGGAGATTGTTGATGAGCTCTTCAGTGGGTTTTTGCAACTCGGAAGCTGTAAGTCAAACCCTTCACCTTGGAAATATAGTGAAATACGGTGCGCTTTAAAATAAGGTGCGTAAATTCTGCCGGGCCTGACCGCCAGTGCCATAATTATCATGCCCAGTATCACAAAACCTAGCTGATCAACGCAGAGGAATCAAACACATTAGGCCTATCACGAATTATATCAATGTAAAATGGGAGAACTGCTACAAGATCAATGACTACGTCCATCGGAAGGACCCGATGAATTGTGAACAATGTAGATTAGCCATACACGGGAAGGACGACAACAATGGCGATATCGTACTTCGATACTCACAATACCAAAAGGAGGACACTCAGATCGAACCCCCCCTATCCTTGACGAACAATCAGGCAGCAGCGCTCACTACCCCACCGCCACGTAGGTAATCTCAGCTATTCTATCTATTTTCCTCCTTTGATCTACTTCATAAATCCAAGAACAAGTGAGCACAATAAGCTGATACATTCAACTTCTCACCAGAGTACCTCAAAAACAACAACTACGATGGAACTATCGCCGCAGCCGTGACAGCTCCTATTCCTGTCCAGACCCAGCGCGACAACAGCATCGGCAACAGTCTCGCCTCAGTCCCCAGCACCATCACCAACATTGGCACCCTCAACATCGTAAACCCTGTCCATACAGCACTCACCCCCTCTCTCCCTCCCAACACTTGCAACCCTCCTCTCCTGTTGCCCAACCCCTCGCATGGATCCCACCCACTGCAATTTCAGCGACAAAAGCAACAACCACGCAAAATCCTACCAAATCCAGCGGACATTAGTGTTAGTCACGTGCCACAGTGAAAGCAGACTACCCATATCGACCAAGCGGTTTAACCTAAAGTAATCAATCCGTCGAGAGGTGCGGAAATGTAGCGGATAGTGATTGTGGGGAGCTATGTTTCTAGATATGGCGGTCAGAACCCTAACCCTAGAGCTGGCTCAGCCAGCTCTAGGGTTAGGGTTACTCAACCGCTTGGTCGATGTGGGTAACATCTGGGAAACGGCATCTATTTACATACATCACCTTCCTCACAAATTATTATTATCGAATGCAATTTATATATTTATACAAATGTTACTCGCTCTAGAGACCATATCTATACCCAAAGTATTATATTTTTTTATTCTATTCAAAAAAAACCCTAGTGGAAACTAGTAGACTGTTATACACCAATGCGTTCTTAAATTT